GACAGCAGTCCGGGCCTACTGGAGACAGGTGAACAAGGCCGTGGCCTCTGAAATACTACTGTATATGGAAATGCGCGCATGCGAGACATAAGAAGTTATGTGACACGGAAGGGGAGGGGAGGGGGGGGAGGAATCCCTGTAGTCGATGTCGCGGTGTGCTGTTGCCGCGTCGTTGGGTGGAGTCTGTGTTGGTCGTCTGTGCTGGGTTTGGGGGGGAGAGAGGGGGGGGGCGGAAGGGGGGAAGGGACGGGGGGGTCGAGCTCGCGGACGCACCACCTGGGCCTCCGGAGCCCCCAAAAAGCCACAAGACAGCCCAACAGGGCCCTAACAGAGCGCCAAGACAGTCGAAGAGAGCGTCATGACGGCCCAGGGTAGCCCACGACGATCCAAGATGGCTTCAAGATGGCTCACGACGAGGCCCCCAAGAGAGCCCAAAAGCGCCTCCAGAGGATCGCCGAGAGGGCCCCGAGCGGCCCCAATCATCACATTCCATTACAAAACGTACATCTTCAGCACATTCGCTGTTTACGTTGTGACATCGAAAACGACAGCCCACGAGGCGACCAAGATCGTCCCAAGACGGCCCGTGATGCCTGCAAGAAGGCCATACGACGGCCAAAGAGGGCCCAAAGGCAGCCCCAGGGCCCCAACAAGACGGCTCAAGACAGCCCCTGCAGGACCCCAAGAGGGCTCCAAAAAAGCCCAGAGGGGGAAAACGAATTGACATTTCGAGCCATTCCCATCGAGATGGCCCCTCGAGCCCCCCAGAGGCTCCCGAGGGCCCTCCAAGAGGCCCCGAAAGGCCTCCAAGACGCCCCCAAGAAGCCCCCCAGAGGCCCCGAAGAAACACCAAAAAAGCCTCCCGTATGCCCCCAAGAGTTCTCCAAGCGGACCCAGAGAGACATCCCGAGAGACTCTCGGGAGGCGCCTGACACAAGATATAGTCTCCACGATCGTCTCAAACACTCACCCCTTGTGGGGGTCGGCGAAATGGCGCATGCCACTTGAATATTGATCTCACACTCTTACTTTCCCCCAAAAAACCCAGTAGGCTCCCAAGAGAGCCTCAAGAAGGGCTCCAGAACGTCAGCGTCGTCGTCTCCGCCGCCGCCATCGTCGTCGTCCCCCTTCAGGGTCGGCGGCACCGGACACAAGGCCTTCCCACTATTGACGTCTCACTCTCACTTCCGCCACCTTCCCCGGCGGCGCGCACAGAGGGGGAGGGGGAGGGGGGAACGTTCCTTCTACAGGACGCTGCTCCTCAGCAGGCCCCCGCCCTGCACATCTACAGACGAGGCCCGCGCCTCCTGAGAAGCAGGGGTGCTTCTATAAGAAGCCTTCCCCCCTCCCCTCTACCCCCCCGCACCAGAGGTCCCTCCGACAAAAGGTCACCCATCGGCGGTGGACAAGCCTCCCTTCAGTAAACCTCCATGTAAAGAGTAACGGCCCAGGACCGAAACCGACGGACCTGGACACGCAAAACCGACGGCCGCGACGCCCCCTCGCGAACCGAAAACGGCCCATTCGCTACTCGACGCGTCAGGGTAGGAGGTCTATCCAACCCCGAACTCTTGCTTGCGCGCGGCCGAGGGCGCGTACCTCCCCCGCCGGACTGGCCCTCCGGCGAAGCCTCGGCCTGGCCTTGGTGAAGGGGCCCTAGGACACACAAATAAACACACACCAACAAAAAAGGATTCCCCATATTCTCCCCTATGTTCTGGGTTTCTGTCTTCCCGCCCAGTTCCCAGATTTTCCCATATCTTCTTGGGGACCGACGAGATTAATTGCGTCGGTGTGTGTTTTCCCCCTCCTGGCCTTGGCCTGGGCGCCCTCCGCCGGCCTTTCGCCGGCCGCCCCGCCGCCACGTGCCGCTCCCGCCGGCCCGCTCCCGCCCGCCTGCGGCGGGCCGCCGCCGCGGGCGGGGTTTACCAGCCTCGAACTCATTCCTACCCCTAAGATGGACACGCCAAAAGGCGATGGCAATCTCAGGGACGCGCCCTCAAAAAACAAGGGAACCCCTAAGAGTGGCATCGTGGTGAGGAGATGCCCAGCATAGGGACAGGGATATGCTCCAGGCTGGTAAGGGGTGCGCCGAGGGCGGGGCCCGCCTATGGAGCGCCCCGCGTGAAGGCGGTGCCTCTTAGTCGTCGAGCGCGCCGGGCGCCGGCCATGCCCGATGAGGGAACGCACGGCCCGGAGGGCGCCAGGGCCGGCACGGGGCAGCGGGCGAGGAGGAGGAGGGGAGAGGAGGGGCGGGGAGAGAGGGGGAGAGAGAGGGAGGGGGAGAGGGGAGAGGGGGGAGGGAGGGAGAGGAGGGGAAGAGGCGGGGGAGAGGCTGGGGGAGGGGAGGAGGGGGGGAGGGGAGGGGGGAGGGGGGGGAAGGGAAGGAGGGGGAGAGAGAGAGGGGAGGGGGAGAGGGGGAGGGCGAGGAGGGGCGGGGGAGAGGGAAGGGGAGGGGGAGGAGGGGGAGGGCAAGTTAGGTGCGCTCGCGTCAACATCTGACATCCTACCCCTCCCTCCCATCCCTTACCATGGCGCTGATTTTCTCTATCCGCGGACGCGTGTCGTAGCGGACCTGTGGCTCCGCGCGCGTGTGCGTAGTGGGTGGTGGTGCGCGTGCGTGCGTGCGTGTGTGCGTGGTTGTGGTTGTTGTGGTGGTGGTGGTGGTGTGTATGTGTGTGTGTGTGCGTGTGTGCGCGTGTGCTGTGGTGTGACGTGGTGTGGCGTCTTGGTGGTTTGGTGGTGGGCCAGGTGCGTACGTGCGTGATGGCGGTGGTGGTGGTGGTGGCGGTGGTGGTGTGTGTGTGTGTCTGTGTGTGTGCGTGTGTGTGTGTGTGCGTGTGTGTATGTGTGTGTGCGTGCGTGCGTGTGTGTCTGTGTGTGCGCGCGTGTGATGTGGTGTGACGCGGTGTAGCGTGGTGGTGGTGGGTGGGGTAGTGCGGTGGTGGTGGCGGTGCGCGGTGGTGGTGCGCGTGCGTGCGTGCGTGCGTTGGTGGGTGGAAGTGGCGGTGGGTGTGCGTGCGGCGGGGCGGGGCGTGGTGCGGCGCGGTGGTGGCGGGCGGATGGGCGCGCGAGAAAGAGGCCCGCGCTGGGGCGAGAACGCCATCCTGAACGACGGAGGCAAACACCGATCCGAAAATGAGGCCCACGCTGCAGCGGGAGCACGATTCGGAACGATTCGGGAGCAGAAATGAGGCCGGCGCCTCAGCGAGAGCAGCATTTTGAAAAAAAACGCAGGCGAAAACCCAACTCCCGGGAATCCTGTGTGTAAAAAACAATACGCGGGGGGGGTCGAATATTCCCAGGCCGCCATCAGGGGAAGAGGGAGAGTAGTATTCAGATTGAGTAATTGTAGAGCAGAATCGAGGCGCGAGGCTCTCCAGGATCGAGGGCCGAGATTCTGGAGCGCTTTGTCTGCCGTCCTGTGCCTCCCAAGGGCCTCCCGGCACGGCGCAGGAGGGGAAGCGGAGCGAGGAGGAGGGAGAGGGGGAGAAAGAGGGGGGAAGCAGGGTGAAGGGACCCCAGGACACACAAATAAATACACACAAATAAAGATAATCCCAATATTTTCTAATATTTTCTGGGTTTTTGTCTTCGCCCCCACTTCCCATATGTTCCCATTTTTTCTGGGAATCGACGATTAATTGTGTCTGTGTGTTTTTTCCCCTCCTGACAGGGGTGGCGAGGCCCGAGAAGCCTAGGAATCCGCCGACCCCCGCTTGCTGGGGGTAAAAGGGCGTGCGCGATGTGTGGCTGTCCCCCTCCACCGTTCCCCCTTCCCTGGGGTCCAACATGCCATTTGAGGAGGGGGGGGGCGACGAACTCGTCAACGCGCCCCTGGGGCCTCTGGAGCCTCCAAAGAGCCCCAAGACGGCCCCAGAGAGCCCAAGACAGAGCGCCGAGACAGTCCAAGAGAGCGTCGAGACGGCGCAGGGTAGCCCCACGACGGTCCCAGAACAGAGGGCATCAAAATGGCCCACGAGGCGCCCAAGACGGCCTAAGAGTGCAAGCAAAGGTCGTCCCATTTCCTTCGGGAAACTAACATGTTTCACATACCCTCCTTTTCCCAAGATCGTTCCAGACGGCCCATGAGGCCCCCAAAAAGGCCCCAAGACTGCCTAAGACGGCCCACAGACAGCCACCGGGGCCCGCAAGACGGCCCAAGAGCCCCAAGAGGCGCCCAAGAGGGGGCGAAGAGGGGCCGTACGAACTGACATGTCAGGCCTTTCTCCCCAAGATGGCCCCGAAAGCGCCTCGGAGGTATCCGAGGCGCTCCCAAGAGGCCCCCAGGAGGCCTCCAAGAGGCCCCCGTGAGGCCCCCAGGAGGCCACGAGAAGCCATCCCAAGACGTCCCCCGACAGGCATCCGGAGAGAGAGACCGTCTGCTGCGATCCGAAGAGGTGTGCCTCCACGATCGCGGCAGGCTCGCACTCCTCCCCGGGGGGCCAGCGGCATGGCGCAAGCCGCTCGAGCATACGATCCCCTCCCTCCGAACCCCCTCGGGCTCCTCCTCTCGGGCCCCGCCTCGGGCCCCCAGCGGCCGTGCAGGACGGGCCCGGGCTCCCGGGAGGCGCTCGACGAGGGGCGCGGCTGACGAAGGACAGCCCGGGGCCCGAAAGGCGCCGAGGAATGCTGGAGAGAAGCTGCACCTCCTCCTCGCCCACCGTGCACCCGAAACCATCGCCAGGATCTCTTCTGGGTTGCCCTCCCGCCAGAAGTTCAACGAGGCGCCAGCCGTGGCGACGAGAAGTCTCCCCGAGACCCCAAACCCACGCCAAGACCTCAGCCCTCGAACCGCTCCTCCCCCGCCCTGCCAGAAGGTGGGGAAGGTGCAACTATGTGCGCATACCGTACCAAAGGTTTCGGAAAGAAGGGGACAAACTCTTTGTGTCACGCGGGCGCCACAGAGCGTCAGACGCCAGTCAGACGCCGGTCAGCAAACGGTGGGTTGCACCGGGAGCGAATTGAGGCACGAAGGTAATACCGTGGAGCAACATGAATCAAACTGGATCCGATGTGGCCCACGCCTCCCTCCTCCTGACGGGGGCAGGCGGGTGCCACGTCGGCGGCGCTGGCCCCTGCGGAGGGCGGGGGGGCGCTTGCTCTGGTAGTCCGCGCAGAACTCCGCGCAGATCGGCACCTGCGGCAGTCCGCTCACCTGCGCGCTCCAGCCGGGCCACGGGGGGAGGCGAGGGCCCTCCTCTTCATCCTCCTGCTCCCCCTCCTCCTCCTCCTCCTCCTGCTCAACCTTTTTCTCCTCCTCCTCCTCCTCCTCCTCCTGCTCATCCTTTTTCTCCTCCTCCTCCTCATCCTCCTCCGTTTGCTCCTCGCCACAATATTATTGCAGCTTTCGGCTTGGATTGGCGTCGGATCGAGGTCGAAATAGATCACTAAACCTATACGACCACCCTTCGGGTGATAAGGAGAAGTGGGGGGGGAGAGGTGGGGGAACCAACATCTGACTCAATCGATCTCACTATCGATCTCACTCAACTCGACACCACGGAAGCACCACAAGACACTTGTCGATCTCTCTATCGATCTCACTATCGATCTCATTTTTTAGGACACCACGGGACACCACGGGCCACCACGGGACGCCACGGGACACCGCGGGACACCTCTCGATCTCATTATTGATCTCACTATCGATCTCACTCAACGGGACACCACGGGACACCTCGAGACATCACGGGACACCTGTCGATCTCACTATCGATATCACTATCGATCTCACTTTTTGGGACACCACGGGACACCACGCGACACCTCGCGGCACCACCTCGATTTCAGTATCGATCTCAGTATCGATCTCACTATCGACCTCATTCAACGGGACACCACGGGACACCACGAGACACCACGTGACACCTGTCGATCTAACTATCGATCTCACTTTTGGGGGACACCACGGGACACTACAGGACACCGCGGGAGTCCGCGGGACACCACATCGATCTCAGTATCGATCTCACTATCGATCTCACTTTTTGGGACACCACGGGACACCTCGGGGCACCACATCGATCTCACTATCGATATCACTATCGATCTCATTATCGATCTCACTATCGATCTCACTATCGATCTCACTCAACGCGACACCACGGGGCACCACGGGACACCACGGGACACCGCGGGACACCGCGGGCCACCGCCGGACGGAAAGCGGACGGACGGAAGGCGGAGGAGCAACATCTGTCTCGACTTCGCCCTGACAACGGCGGGTTCATTCCTCTCGCGCGCCCACGCAGCTTAGCCTCGCCCGCACGAACGACACGAACGAAACGAAACGATTTCCCGGTTGGGGGTCTCCGTTCCACTGCGATCTCACCCCCCAACCTCCGATTACGATACCGTTATCTATCGACCAATCTCGCTAGATACCCGTCGAAACACCAATACACATGTATCGACGTGTAGGTGTATAGTTACACATGTATGTATACAAACGTGTGGAAGTTACGACCAATAGCTCTACCGATCCCACTACCTATATCGGAGGTTGGGGGGTGAGATCGCAGTGAAACCGAGACCCCCCACCGGGAAATCGGTTTCGGTTTCGTGTTCGTGTCGTGCGTGCGGGCGAGGCGAAGCTGCGCGTGATCCTCCTGTAGCTAGGCCGAACTGGGAGCGAAAGTCCGTTTCCCGTGCGCCGGTGGCCGGGAGGTGTCCCAATTGGGCCAGGCGGTGTCCCGGGCGTCCCGGGTGTCCCGGGCGTCCCGGCGCTAACGCATGTCGCTAATTTCATCATTCATTTTTTTCGGCGCAAGCGGCGGGCTTTCTTATCCAATCCAGTTTATCCAATCCATCTTGTCCAATCCAATCCATCTTATCTTATCCAACACATATTGTCCCATCTTATCTGATCCCACCCAATCCAATCCATCCAACCAAATCCATCAATTCATTTGTTTCTGCGCCTGCGGCGGGCCAATCCAATCCATCTTATCTTATCCAATCCGTTTCTTCCAATCAAACCCATTTTATCTTATCCAATACATATTGTCCCATCCAATTCAATCCAACCAACCCAATACATCAGTTTATTTTTGTCGGCGCCTGCGGCGGGCTTTTTTATCCAATCCAGCTTATCTTATCCAATCCATCTTGTCCAATCCAATCAATATTATCTTATCCAACCCATCTTGTCCCATCTTATCTTATCCCACCCAATCCAATCCATCCAACCCAATCCATCAAGTCTTTCGTTTCTGCGCCTGCGGCGTGCCAATCCAAGCCATCTTATCTTATCAAATCCATCTCTTCCAATCCAACCCATCTTATCTGATCCAATCCGTATTATCCCATCCAATGCAATCCCACCGTCGGTCGACGGATAGGTATAGTGGGATCTCATCGTCATCGCGATCATTCTTGTGGTGGAAGGAGACTCTGATAGAGAGGGAGAGAGAGAGAGAGGGTGAGAGAGAGAGAGACACAGAGAGAGAGACAGAGAGAAAGAGAGAGATGAGATCAAGGTGACAGGCTGAAGGTCAGTCAGGGTGGGCATTTGATCTCAATCCCCCCAACCTCCTTATCGCCCGCTGGGCGGTCGTATAGGTATCGATATACCTAGATGTCGGTCTCATCAGCTGACAATCGCGCTCCCAGTCAGCTTACATATCTATGTGCACCGAAGTACTGATCGATACAAATACCAATATCTCTCGAGATCTGTCGATCTCACTAAACGTCTGCATGTCGGTACACGTACATAGATCTGTAGATCAACAGGCCGGTATAAGAATTGTCCTATCTTACCATCTAACGGCGGCGAACAAGGGGACGGCGGCGGCCACGACGGCAACGGCTGCGGAGGCGTGGCGGCGGCGGGGCCGAAGGACGACGACCACGAAGGACAAAGACGACGAGGGGAAAGACGACGACGACGACGACGACGACGGCGACGGCGACGGCGACGGCAACGTCGACGAAGACGACGAAGACGACGACGACAACAAAAACGACGACGAAGACAACGAGAACGACGACGGCGAAAGCGACGATGGCGACGGCGACGGCGACGGGGAAAACGACGACGACGACGACGACGACGACGACGACGACGACGACGACGACGACGACGACGACGGCGGCGGGAGACCCCGCAAGGCGGCGGCCCGACGAGTCTGGCCGTAAGGATCCCCGCCTCCTGGACGGGGGCCATGTCCGGGGTGCACAGCTTGAGCGACTTGCACCCCTGCCCAGAAGGAGGGGGGGGGAGAGGGGACGAGAGGGGCGGGGGGCAAGGGGCAAGGCGCACCTAAACGCTCAAGGGGCGGACCTGTAAAGAACACCTCCACCCTTCCCCGCCTCCATCCCGCTCCTCTCTCCGCCTACTCCTTCTGCTCCCCCTACTCCTGCTCCTACTCCTCCTCCTCCTCCTCTTCCTCCTCCTCCTCCTCCTCCTCCTCCTCCTCCTCCTCCTCCTCCTCGTCTGGTGGGGCGCGCGGGGGCTTGCGGAGGTGCCCCCCGCCAGCGCGGCGGCTCCGTCTCGGGAGGAGACGGCGGGGGGAGAGGGGCAGGGGGGGTGAGGATGGGGAGGACGAGGGAGGAGGTGGAGGAAGAGGAGGAGCAAGAGGAGGAGGCCAACGACAACGACGAGGACGAGGAGGGGAAAGGGGACGAGAACGAGGAGACGAGGAGGACTGGGAGAAAGGGGGTGAGGGAGGCGGCGAAGAAGAGGACGAGGGGGGTCGAAGTTCTCGGGCGTGTTCTGTCCACCATCGACACTCTAGCTTGCCGTCATGATGACTGTCTTCCTCCAGGGCGTGAACACTGATTGTCATCCTTCTTGATGACTGGCCACGCTGGTCACGGCCAAAAGGCGCACCGCTCCCGCTAAAGCCTTACGGTAGCCCAATCCAACGAGAGACTGGCATGATATATTGGGGAGAGACTTGACGTAAGATCGCTCTGCCAATGCGGAGCTAAGTTGGCCGATATGCCGAGCCCGGGATGCGTTCGATCGCTTGCAGCGCATTCGGTTCCAATCTCCTTCGACGGCCAAGGGGAACGTATTTTCAAAGAACATGTTGAACAGACGCTCCAGCATAGTGTTCACGCAACTTGGCTGCGACAGAAAAGGATGGCCAGATTTCAATGCGCATCAAATGCGACGCTTGCGAACAACATCGCAGGAAAGCAGCAGGCGCATCTCTGACGCACGGCTCTGCGGCTAGCCCAATCCGGCAAGCTCGGCAACGTCTTGATACAGCAAGAGGCTACTGGACGACCATCCTGGAACATATCCCTATCCCTATGCTGGGCACCTCCTCATCGCGATGCCGATCTTAGGGATTCCCCTATTTTTTGAGGACGAATCCCTAAGATTGTCATCGCCTTTTGGCGTGTCAATCTTAGGGATAGGGATACGTTCGAGGCTGGTGATGAACGACCATCCTGACCTGTAGGTAGAGCTCCAGCCTTCCCTTGGCTGGGCGCTTGCGCCTGGCCACCGAGAGGAGGGGCACGACCCCAACGGGCGCAGGTGAAGGAACTGCAAGAGCAATTGAGGCAAAGGTGCCGCGAGTCTGCTGGCAGCCCTTGCAGCTTTGGCAACGCCTCCAAACCCCAGCTGCAGGCGTCTGCAAGCCCACAGTTAAACATGATGAGAGTGTTTCCCTCCACCTCCCACTCCTGCTCCCTCCTCCTCATCATCATTGTTTTTCGTAGTCGGTACCATCGCCATCAGCACCATCATTCTCATGACCACCACCACCATCATTATCATCTGCATTATCATCAACATTATCATCATCACAAATACCACCACCATCATCATCATCATCATCATCATCATCATCATCACCATCATACTCCTCATCATCATCATTAGCACCATCACTACCCGCATCAACATCATGTTTATCATCGTCAGCATCATCATTACTAGCATCACCACCATCACCATCACCGTCACCATCATCATCGTCAGCATTGTCACCATCGCCGCCATCATCCCCAACATCACCGTCGTCATCATCACCGCCACCATCATCGTCGTCATCATCACCATCACCACCGCCACCACCATCACCGTCGCATCACCATCAACATCGCGCCAGCCCCGACCCGAGAAGCGAAGGCAGCTGGGATCTCGCTTCTCCAGCCCAGCAGGCTACGCGCGACGGCCTGCTCCACGTAGGCTATCCGGTCCCAGTTCTTCAAGTAGAAGGCCTCGGCGAGAGCGCACTGGGGAGGACCCTCCTCTTCCTCCTCCTCTTCCTCCTCCTTCTCTTCATTCCTCCCCCTGCCCCGCTTCCCTCCTCCTCTCCCCCCCTCTTGCCCCCTTCCATGCCCCCTCTTCGCGGGCGGGGGCGGTGACGTCACCCTGAAGCGTAACGGTCTGGACGATTGCTCTCCTTTATCTCGTCCTTCTGCTCTGCCAGGTCGTGGCCCCGACACCCCTCAAGGCCAAAGTATCCGTATCACTCCCACGTGCGATGCAACACCGTGGATGCAAATGGCGAGGCGCTCACACCTCTATTTGCTGTCCTGGAGTGGGCGGTCGAGAACAGTGACGTCAGATTGTGTGCAAATGCGTCTGCGCTTGCGCCTCTTATCTCAATCCCTGGGATAACGAGTGCGCGGGCATATTCAGTTTCGGTGTCGAAACTGTGTATGCCATCTTGGTGCTCCCCCGTTTCAGGTATCCCCCCCAGGACTGTCATCAGGAACCACCTCGACGCGCGCGCGCCCCCCTCCCTCTTGCCCCCCCCCCCCGGGTGAGGACCGTCTCTAGGCCTTACCCGTGAGGACCATCATAGGCCTCACACCCCGCGCAGCTTCCATCATAGGGGCTGCGTGGGTTCCCCACCCACATCTTTTCATGATGGCGCCAATTGCCATTGGAGGGGGCCGAGGACCTCCCTGCAACCCCTCGGCCAACGAAGACGGCTGCAGGAAGGGGTCTAACGTACCTCCACACCTTTACACCTCTTCACCTTCACATTATGGCACCAATTGCCACCACGCGATTTTCCTCCTCCCACATCCATCCTCCTCCTGCCTCGAGCGATTACGGCTGCCCCTCTCTGTGCTCCTACACTTCCCTGATCGTCGCAATTCACCTGGGCGTCGGTTATGGACGGGCTGGTCTGGATGCGCGAAGCGTCAAGAATTGTCTGTGTTACCTGTGTAACCTTTGGTCGGCATGCCACACTTCAAGGACCGAGGTGCATGGCGCGAAGCGTCAATGCAGTCTTGTGTATATGTCTATATAGATGTGCGTATATGTATCGGAGGTTGGGGGGTGAGATCGCAGTGGAACGGAGATTCCCAACCAGGAAATCGTTTAGTTTCGTTCGTGTCGTGAGTGCGGGCGAGGCGAAGCTGCGCGGACGCGCGAGAGAAATGAACCCGCTGTTGCTAGGGCGAAGTCTGGACAAATGATTCTCCCCCTCCCGCCCGTCCGGCGGTGGCCCGCGGTGTCCCGCGGTGTCCCGTGGTGTCCCGTGGTGCCCCGTGCGAGAGGAATCAACCCGCCGTTGCTAGGGCGAAGTCTAGACAAATGATTCTCTCCCTCCCGCCCGTCCGGCGGTGGCTCGCGGTGTCCCGCGGTATCCCGTGGTGTCCCGTGGTGTCCCGTGGTGTCCCGTGGTGTCCCGCTGAATGAGATTGATAGTGAGATCGATAGTGAAATCGATAGTGAGATCGATAGTGAGATCGATACTGAGATCGATGTGGTGTCTCGAAGTGTCCCGTGGTGTCCCGTGGTGTCCCAAAAAGTGAGATCGATAGTGAGATCGACAGTGAGATCGACAGGTGTCCCGTGGTGCCCCGTGGTGTCCCGTGGTGTCCCGTGGTGTCCCGTTGAGTGAGATCGATAGTGAGATCGATAGTGAGATCGATGCTGAGATCGATGTGGTGCCCCGAGGTGTCCCGTGATGTCCTGTGGTGTCCTATGGTGTCCCGTTGAGAGAAATCGATAGTGCGATCGATAGTGAGACCGATAATGAGATCGATGTGTTGTCCCGCGGTGTCCCGTGATGTCCCGTGGTGGCCCGTGGTGTCCCGTGGTGTCCAGCTGAGTGAAATCGATGGTGAGATCGATTGAGTCAGATGTTGGTTCCTCCCTCTCCCGCCCCCCCTCCCCCACAACCTCCTTATCACCCGAAGGGTGGTCGTATAGGTATGTGTATGTATATATATATATATATATATATATATATATATGTGTGTGTATGTGTATACATACTTGCCGCCTGAGGCCCCGCCCGCCGGCGCCCTGTCTCCCCATTTAGTGCTTTGCGCGCCCCGCCTAGCTCTGAACCGGAAGGGGCCCGCTCCCGACCCGCAGACCCAAAAAAAAAGTGTAGACAGACTTACACAGACGCCTACACGCATAGATGCTGTTGGTTCCCCCCCCTCTCCCGCCCCCCCCCCACAACCTCCTTATCACCCGAAGGGTGGTCGTATAGGTATGTGTATATATAGATATATGCGTGTGTATGTGTATACATACTTACATAGACGCCTACACGCACAGATGCAGGCACGAACCCACAGACGCACCCCGCCGCTCGGTCGGCCAGAGAGCTCGGCGCAGAGACGCGCTCCACCCGCCCGGGTGGCGGGGGCGCTGGCGCGTCCGCACCCCGAGAGTCCCTCTGCCGAGCGCTCCTCGGCGCCCATGGCTGACCGAGCGACGCGGTGCGCTTCGAGCCCCATCCAAGTCTGACGGGGCGCCCTGGGGCACACACACACACAAATACACAGACACAAATGACAGGATTCCCCATATGTTCCCACATGTTCTGGGCCTCTGTCTTCCCCCCCACTTCCCATATATTGTCCCATATATTCCGGGGAATTGACGACGCATGGTGTCTGTGTGTGTGCTTGCTCCCTTCTGAACGTCTCTTCGAGGCATCATAGGACATTGCAGGTGGCGAGTGCTCCTCGGCGGCCCCAGGTCCCCAACGCGCTGCACCTCTTGGGCGCTTCTGGGGTTCGACGCGTGCCCTTGCCAGGAACCCTGGCAGCGCGATCTGGGACCCACGCTCCCCACGTGCCTCGAGATGGCCCCGGGGGAGCGTCCTGGGCTCGCCTGGGGGGCCTCTCGGGCCGTTTTGAGTGTCATGGGGTCTGGTGTTCAGCCCAACAAGCCAAAATGGCTGAAAAGCGTCTGAAGGCTCCGTATAGTTCAACCGTATCCTCCATCAGTGTTCAAGAGCGTCACAGATGGCTCCAGAAAACCACAACATCGACCGAAGATTCGCGTGTGTGTGTGTACGTGTGTGTATGTGTCCGCTTCTCCTGTGGCGTCCCCCATCCTGTGTTCTTTCTCCCCCGTCTCCCCTCCCCCTCTTCCCCGCTGCTTCCCTCGCGATTGGCCCACCGCGAATGATCATGTTGACTTCGTATTGGCGGATCCGACATCTCCACGCTGCATGATGTGGGCACGCCGCGCGCGTATCCCCGCCCGACATTTACTCCGCCGCGCCGCTGCGCGCGGACTCCCTTCCGACGATTCTCTCCCACCCTCGCCCCGGCCCGCGCCCCCTACCCCCCCCCCCGCCACCACTGCGGGGACAAAAAGGCACTGCTAACGCTATTCCCAGACCTCTCCTGGGGTGCGTTCTGTGCAAGATTCCGAGGCGAACCCAGCCGTGGTGACAAGGGCTCTCCAGGACGAGCACCGCACTGGGGGAGCAAAATAAATATCAATGACACGCTGCCGTGGGGAACGCATCAGGATGGCACGGCTGAAGGAACACCTGGGTCTCCAGACAACAAAGAAGGAGCAACACGCTGACGGGCCACCATATTAAGACCTCGTGACTGGGGTCCGAGTAGAGGGGGTCGGAAAATCGCACCGCATCAGCGACGCCAGCGTGGTGGAAGGTCGTGCTCCACATCGAAATGCATCCGCGATGCATCGGCGATGCAGAGCGATCCACCGACCCCACCTGCTCGGACCCCATTCGGGGGGCCAAGATACCAACGGCAGCGTGTCATTGTTTTTTCCTTCTCCGTCCCGACACATGGGTATCTTTCCCTCCGTTTGACTCCGGCCGCCCCGCGCCTTCTCGCAGTGCGGCGTGTGCAGCGTGTCGCAGCGGACGGGCTGCGCAGTGCGGGACGGGGGCGGCCAGGCAGCGCGCCCCCCCAAGAACAGAGCCCCCCGCCTCTCTGGGGTTCCTCCCGCGAAGACGAAGGCATGACGAGGACCAAATCTGGGTGAGCATAACCCAAGAGATGGGGGCACCGCCGAGCGAGATCGTAGCACCACGACAAAACGTAAATTGAATAAGCCCGCAGGGGGGAAAGGGGGCCGGCGGGAGCAAGAGCAAGACAGCCCAAGAGAGGCCCCTAGACGGCCTCTTCGGAGGCAAGAGCCCCTGCCGATGGGATCCTGTGGGGATCTTGGTGGGATCCCGCACTGAGGGGTCTAGGGGCGGGATGCCGCTTGCAGGGGCGAAAAGCGAAACAGTTTCATCGAAGAAAAGGTGGGGGTCGATAGTTGCTTCCCACGGTTACACTGGAATCTCTGAGAGCCGATCAAGGGCCACGGCCGTCCCAGAATCGTCCCGAAACACTCTGGGAGCAGAGGGCTGGCGCCAGCGCAGGTCGGCTTGGCAACACAATGCCACTGCACAGCAGAGTAAGGCACAGCAGGAAGTGAAAAACGTGAGGTCCTGCACCCCGCACCTCCACACCCGCGGAGGCCGGGGCAGCAAGGGCGCCGGCGAAGCCCAGACCAAAACACTCTGCCAACGCTGGCTGGACGGGGAGCGGGCCTTCCTGTGGGCCGAGGCCGTCAAAGGTCGCACTGCCAAGACTGCGCCGCGCGACCCCCGACGATCTGGAAGATGCGTCCAGCTCGCCGCGGACGCCCAGTACTCCAAGAGCTGGTCAGCTCTGACCAGCGAGCCGCCGGTGTCGGTCACCCCCGACGTCGTCGCGCAGATGCGACGGGAGCACCCTCGAAGCCGCCGCGCCGTGGACGTGGACTCCGCCAACTTCCCGGCTGTCCACGCGGCTGCGGCTCTGCAGGTGGACGGAGATGCGGTCACGCGGGAGGTGCGGGCCTGCCCTCGGGCATAGGCTGCCAGGCCAACGGGCCTCCGACCCCAACACCTAAAGGACGCGCTGCTCAATGCGGCTCAAAAGGACGAGGTCGTCGACCAACCCGGGAACCTCGTCAGTTTCTGCGTCAGGGGACAGGCCCCGGACACCGTGCCCGAGTACTTCGCAAGAGCCTCTCTTGTGGCTGTGCCGAAGAAGGACGCTCTCAGGCGCCTCGTCGGCAACTGCCTCTGCCACGAGGTAGCTGACGCCGCGCGAGACCGACTGAATCCCCTCCAGATTGGCGTCGCGGTCCCTGGCGTCACCGAGGCGGCGGTGCACGTTGCCCGCCAGTGGTGGGCCCGCCACCTCGGGGACTGGGGCAACGTGCTTGTGAAGCTGGACCTGCCCAGCGCTTTCAACGCCATGGACAGGCAAGCTCTGCTCCACGCGGTCCACGAATAGCTCCCCGGGCTGGCGCCCTGGGCAGACTGGAGCGACTCCCGCCCGTCAGCCCTCTTCTTGGGCGAGCAGACTGTCTGCTCGGAGAGCGGGGTGCAGCAGGGTGGCCCCCTGGGGCCGACGACGCCGTCGATCTGAGCTTTTTCTACTTGGACGACGGCTGCCTCGCCGGCGACGCGCCCGGCGTGGCGCGCCTCCTCCGCTTGCTCGTGGCCAACCTTGCCGAAGTGGGCCTCCAGCTGAGCACTGGTCAGGGCAAGTGCGAGATAATCCCCACTAGCGGAGACGCCTCCGACGTCTCGCTGGACGGTTTCCCGCCGGGCTCCCGCTTCCGCGCCGACCGCAGTTTCGAGCTACTCAACGCGCCAGTGGGGGGCGCGGACTTCTGCGCGAAACACACACTGCAACATGTCGCGAGCACCGCCGTGCTGCTGGGAGCTCTGGGGGCGCTCGAAAACGCACAAATCGCGCTGCATCTGCTGCAGCTGCGCGCATCACTCTGCAAGCTGAGCTACTCGGCGCGGGTGGCGCCGCCCACCGCGCACAACGCCTCCCTGCTGGCCATGGACAACGCCGTCCGGGCCTGCCTGGAGCAACAGAACGGCTGCTCGCCCACCAGCGGGAGTGTTTTCGCCAAGCGCGTGGCGAGTTGATGGACTTTTTCTGCGACCACGCCCTGGTCTGCGCCTGCCACGGCGACCGGACCAAGCGCCACAACGCCCTGCGCAACCAGGCCTCCTTCGACGCCCTGGCCGCTGGCCACGCTGGGGCGGAATTGGAGCGCCCAGGGCTGCTACCCCCGCGCCTCGCCAGGGAAGCCACCCCCGGAGGTGTGAGCAGGGCGGGCCCTAGGTGGACGAAAACGACCGCCGCACCGCCGACGTATACTTGCCCGGGTGGCGCAACGGCACGGCGGCGGCCTGGGACTTTGCCGCCACGTCCGGGATGCACGCAGATCTCTTCGCCGCTTCGGCCGCTTCCTCAACTGCGCCGACGGAACGGCACGAGGACGTCAAAAGGCAGCACCAGGACACCACGCGGCAGCGCGCGGCGCAGGGTTTCACCTTTTCTCCCCATGGTGGTGGAAGCCCACGGTGGCGGGTGGGGCCGCGAGGCACGCAGGGCTTTCGTGGTCCTGGCCAAGCGGGTGGCCGACGCCACGGGGGAAGACGCCGATATGATCGCCGATATGGTAGCGGACCAACACGCCAAGCGACTCTCGATATCCCTGCATACGGAGAACGCGCAGTCGGGGTTGCGGCGCCTCCAGACGCAGTCTGGAGGGGCCGGGGTGGCCGCGGCCCGCTTGGCCACGGCCACGGCGGCCTCCGCAACACGAGCGCCCCCCCTCCCCGCGCCATTCCGCTGGCCGTCTCTTCCTCGCCGTCGCGGTGACCCCGCAAAGACCCAGCGTGCCGGGTTCGGCCAGGCACCCCACAACGATCCCGACGCCTTCCCCGACGCCTTTCCCGACCCAGCCCCACGCCCTGCCCCACGCCCTTCCATTCGCCCACCACTACTCTGCACGACGAGCCCGACGACGAACCCAGCAACTGCCACCCAGTCCAGCACGAGCGTCGCCCCCGCAGTGCCCGTACCCTCGTCGCGGGTGGCCCTTCTCTCCCGGCCCCTGTTCTGGCCCGTCTGCTTGCGGTTGTTTCCCTGTCCCTCCCCGTCTCCCGTCCCTCTTTTTCCCTCGCCTTCTCCTCCCTTGCTCCATGCTTGCTGCCTCCTTCTGTCCCTTCCCGCCTGCACGCCCGCCTGCTTCGTCCTGCCGGCCCTGGCCTCTCGCCTGCGCGTTTACCTTCCCCTGTTTGCTTCTCGTTCACTTTCTCCCTCCGTCGCCGCGCACCAGAGACTGCCAGGAGCCAGCGGCGCTGGACAAGGCGCCTCCGACACATCTTGCCGAGGCATGGCGCGCCGCGGAGACGAGCACTTGAGCGGCCTGAAGGGCAAGGCAGGGCGGACGCGGGAAGACGGCCTCCTTATATCATGAAGATCTTGCGGGGGGGGCAGGTTCTGGTTGGGGGAGTAGAGCACGTTGAGCGCGTAATTACAGGAGCGTCACAGCAGAGGTTGAGGGCAACCGAACAAGCTCGATCCATGCCACGTGCAGCGCCAGGAAGCGAAATTCGGCACACTGACCAGGGGCTGGGAAAGCGGGGTCTTGAACACCAGAACGAGCACTGGGAAAAATGATCCACCGAGCGAGCGCATGTGGCCTGCGGCAAACGACTCAAGCGAAACCGGAATCCACACATCTCCCCTTCTGGGGGTCGACGGAATGGAGCAAGCCTACTGGCTCCGCCTGCCGACCAAGAGGCGTGCGAGAATCTGAATTCGAGAATTTCCTTCAAAGCGTTGCCCACCCCACCCCACCGCTAAAGGCGTCCGCCATTTTGCCGGCCGATGCACCATCTGCCCTTGGCGGGCCCCAAGAAGGCTTCCAGACGGCGTCCAAGACGACCTCATCGAATTCCATACCTTTCCAAATGCGCATTCGGAACATTCGGCCCCATCCGGTGTCCACGGAACGCCTCTCGGACCCACTTCACATACAAACTGGCAGCTTGAGCAACATAGCAAATCTCTTAAGCTTTTGACGAGACTGGCTTCGCCGGGGATCATCCGGACGATTTTGATCGACGACTTTCGGGCTCTGATGCGGCATCCTTCTGCATGCTGAATTCGCTATCGTTACGAACGTCCTCCAAGATCAATGGTTCAACGATTATGGCCCCAACTTGGGCCCTAAAACGCCGCCCAAGACGACCCCGATGCCGGCCCGAGTTCGATAGCAATCGGACTAGGCTCGGGCCCCACGAAGGAATGCTCGCGCTTCGGTCACTCTCGTGGACATATTCGGCCATTGTTGGCGCATTTTGAGCGACAAAATTGTGGTTGTTTCTGGTCTCTGGCATTGGGTAAGGAGCAATGGTCCAGAGAGCCAGCGTCCATTGTCAATGATCGTTGGTAATGATGACGGGCATAGCCACACGGCATACCTGAGCCCATTCGGCGATGGCACAGAAGAAATGTAGCGCAAGAAGAAATATAGCACACGCGCACAACCACCCACATATACGCGCACGCACACAGGCACACAAACTTTTTAGCTGACACACACACACACACATAAACAAATACATACACACACAGACACACACACACAGACAGACACGTCCGACTGTCCTGGCGGCGCAGAGGGCCCTCAGCATCGTCGAAGGCACAGTGTACGGAGCGTCGCACACTGAAGAGTGCAATAATGGGTGGTGTGAGAGAAGAACTGTATGTCCATACGAACCGTGCAGCGGCCAGAAAACCAGGGAGGCTACTCAACTCGAACTAAACTGAAGCGCAAGCAGTCTGGTACACGCACACACACACACACAAACACACACACACACACACGCGCGGGGAGGTCTTTCCACATTCTCGGAATATGTTCATCCGGTCTTGGAGCCGTCTTTTCCCCTTTGGGCGAGAACTGGAATGGGCGGAGAGGTGAACGCGAAGCGTCTCGAAACAACTGCTGGAGCTTGATACACGGTGGCCACATGCCGTCAATTCATCACCTCCCTCCATCCCGCCTCCCCCCTCCCCCCTCCCCCCCTCCCCCTCCCCGCCCACTCCGTTCTCGAGGTTCGCCTGTTGGATCAGATGACTTTCGCCATCGCTTCACTCACACCCCACCCAGGCTGGTGCACACAGGCACAGCGCATAACTGCTGGTTGCTCGCCCGCCTTGCTGTTGAAGCGGATCGCGTTCACCTTGACTCGCTCCTTCGCTGCAGGCGCAGCGCGCGGCGAAGCCACGGGACGCGGCGCACGGCGGGGGGTCAGCGGAAGCTGAGGAGGGGGAGGGGAAGGGGAAGGGGGAGGAGGCAGGGGCGGAGGGCGAGGGGGAAGGGGAAGGAGAAGGGTTTATTATCATGTGTGGTGCCACTCTGGAGGGGAGGAGGAGGAGGAGCGAACACTGCTCGATAGCATGATCGGCGACGCATTCGTGAAGCCACGAAGCTACCTGAAATGCCACGCACACGAAGGGTGAAAGCCGCGAAAACGGGCTGTCCTGCGAGCAATGGCTTATATAAACGGCCACTGTCAATTTGCAACGGCAGGCTCAAGACCGAGGAGCAAGTCCAATTGAACCACTGTGAATCCAAAGACGCTGGACATGGGCACTGGCTGAACCCACAGCGTGCAGCGCGAGAGGAAGCACAAAGAGGATCGTAAGGGAGAAGGGAGGAGGAGAGGAGTGAAAAAGCAGCAGAAACAAAAGAACACCATGCGAACACAGGCCGATACGAACTCACCGTAACAACAAATCGTATCAGTGGCGCCCGGGGAAGCGGGCAGGAGGGGGAGGAGGAGGGGAACGCGAAATGATACGAAAACGCCCCCAGCGGTTTCCAGTGCAAGGCGCTAGGAGCGCCAAGGGTAGCAGCAGCAAAGAGCGCCGCGAGAAACGAAACGGGTGAGCAAGCGGCATGCACGAGGCAAAGGGGGGGAAGGGAGGGAGGGAGAGAGAGAGAGAGGGAAGAAGCCTGGGCGGTGACGTCAGAACACGGGCAGCTCCTCGAGCCGCCGCTCGAAGGGAGACGAGGCCAGCCAGCCTCGAGGCCCAGCCGGCCTCGCCACCACCCACCCGCCTGCCAGCTGCAGCGGCCATGCGCCGCACGGAGGCCGGAGACCGAGCACGTCGCCCACCGCGGCGAGAACAGCCGCCCACACGCACGGGGGGGCACCACGCGGCCGAGACGCCGGAGCACAGCTTCAAGGCTCCACCTGTCCAGCCGACGGCGCACACGCCGAGGGACGTCAGCAGGTGGACGATTGCTGCATGGGGAGGGCTGCGTCACGTCGTCCGTGCCAGGACCCCCTCCGGGGAGGGGCGCCCCTCGACGTCATCGTCACCGTCTTCGGCCCAAGCCGTGCGCTTCCTGATCTGCTGGGCCTGATGCCGCCTGAGGCCACGCACGGCTGCCCCCCCATCCGCTCACTCGCCGTGGGACCCGCGGCCGGTCGGGAGGAGGAGGACCAGTGTAAACCCAAGAATCATCAACGATGTTAGAATTAACCCTCCCTCCAAACTCCCTTTTTCATAGGCCCCTACAACGGTTCATTTCCACTGAGGGAACTGCCTCGTTGGAAGACAAACGTTTGAAGATCCTGAAGCATGCCAAAACGTTGTTCTCGGGATTTAAACGCCACAGATCAATTTGACTGCTGCGTCTTGACGATCCGAAATCGTGCCAGAACGCCGATTTTGAGACTTTAACACCGCGAATCAACACCGCGAAGCAACAGAACTGTTGCACCCGCATAGTTCTGAATCTATCTAAAGCACCATTTCTGGTACTTTGATCATGGGGAGCAATGAAGCCCTTGCAATATTTGAAAACGAACCTTCGCGGCGCTGAGACGAGAGCCACATTTTGAAAAAGAGCCGCCCTCCACCCCTGAAACTCTTGCAAATGTTTAAAACGAATGAGCGCGGCGCTAAAGCGAGAGCCACATATTGAAAAGGAACCGCCCTCTATCCGTGAACTCTTGCAAATGTTGAAAACGAATGTGCGCGGCGCTAAAACGAGAGCCACATTTTGAAAAGGAACCGCGGAACTTCTGCAATTCGTTAAAACGAATGTGCACGGCGTTGAAGCGAGAGCCACAGTTTGAAAAGGAGCCGCCTTCAAATCATGAAACTCTTGCAATTGTTTAAAACAATGTGCGCGGCGCTGGGGCGAGAGCCACATTTTGAAAACGGCCCGCCTCTAATCCGTGAAACTCTTGCATTTCTTATAAACAAGATTACATATGTCATCTATACACATATATCTATATGTTTAAAATGTGCGCGGCACTAGGGCGAGGGCCACATATTACAAACCGCCCGCCCTCAATCCGTGAAGCTCTTGCTTTTTATTAAAAATATGAATGTGCACGGCGCTGAAACAAGAACCACATGTTGAAAAGGAACCGCGCTGAAACCATGAAACTTTTGCAACTGTGTATGTGCGCGGCACGCAGGCGAGAGCCACATTTTGAAAACCACCCGCCTTCAATCCGTGAAGCTCTTGTAAATTATTTAAACGAATGTGCGCGGCGCTAAGGCGAAAGCCACATTTTGAAAACCACCCGCCCTCCATCGCGAAACGGTTGCCACTTTTTACGCTTCAGAGTCCTGAATGGTGAGGAAGTCTCAAGCGAAACGCCCGGCCCGCCCTAAAAGCTGGTGGCCTCGAGGTGCGTCAGGGAGAAATTATTAGTAATGAAAAATGGAAAAGGAGGATGAGGAGGAGGAGGAGGAGGAGGAGGAGGAGGAGGAAGAGGAGGAAGAGGAGGAGCGGGAGGGGGGTGGGGAAGGAAGGAAGGAAAGAAGAGCATGGGACGCAGGGAAGGGAGGTGAGCGAGCAGAACGGCACAGCAGGAGGAGGGGATAATATTCCTGGACGTACCTGGGCGCCAAAGCGCACATGACCAACAACGCTACAACGCTCCAGAAACCCCGGGAAGGAGGAGGAGGAGGAGGGAGAAGGGAGAGGGGAGAAGGAAGGGGAAAGCAGGAGGAACGGCGGATGCAGGAGCGGGAGCAGGGCCACAGGAGTGGGAGGATGAGGAATAGGAGGAAGAGACGCTGCTCCCGTGCAGCTCATCGACTTCGAGGCTATTGATCCACCGGTAAACCACAAAGAGCGGGCCCAGTCCCGGCCTCGGCCCCGGCCCCGGTCCTGGCCCTAGCCCTAGTTCCCGGCCCGCTCCGGCCCTGGCCTCAGCCCAAGTGCCGGCCCCGGCGCCCTCCAAATCTACACTCCGTGGCCTCCCAGACGCCCGAGATGCCGAACCTAGCTTCAAATGGACGAACAAAGCCTGGAAGTCGCCCCAGGAGGGCTGCAAGACGCCCCGAATGGTCCTGATAGGCAACCGGCGTCGTCGCCAACATCGTCAATTAACATCCTCGCTAGTCTCTCCCTCCTTCTCCTCCTCATGATCGCCACGCTCTACTCGCACTTGCCCTTCCTTCGTGCCCCCCCCTCCACCTGTACATGCGACCCTGCTCGCCTCACTCTCCTCCTATTCATTCCCCCCTCTGTGCTCCTACTCCTCCTCATCCACCTCTTCCTCCTGTCCCCCTCCCCATCTTCCTTCCCATGCTCCGCGCCCTCCCCCCAAACCTCAGGGTCAGCGGCACCAGCCGTACGGCCTTCGCACTATACATATACATATATATATATACATATGTATATATATATATATATATGGCACGTATGTGCCCAGGCTCATACAAAAAAAAACTGAAAGGGCGTTGGAAACAGGAAGACACCATGACTGCAGGATCGGAGATGGAGAAGGGGAAGCTGGGGCGGCGCCGCCAGGGCGTGCCTAAGAGAAGGGGAAGAGGCAGGAGGTGAACGCAGAGGAATCTAAGATCGAGGTCGCACATAGATATATATATATATATATATATATATATCGAGGTCGCACATATATATATATATATATAGATGGTGCCACTAAGCCTGTCGCTGGCGCGCCATGCGCCCCTCCACCTGCATTCGGCCGTGCACGCGAGGTGCTGGCTCGGCCCGCGTGGGCTCGCGAGCGGAGCGAGACAGGCGCCCGAAGCAGGAGGCCGGGCACCCCCGAGCCGCACTGCCGATAGCGAGGCGAGCCGAGGCGCAACGCCTGGGGACCATTTTGGAGGCCTGGGAATGGGCACCACCACCAAGACAGGGGGGTGCCTCCACAGGGGGGAGGTGATCCTAGATTCCGGTGTTGGTGGTAATAGTTCGGCCACCTCGGAAGCCAGAAGATTGCAACCATCACCGAGATCGGGAGCTTCTTCCCTCGGTGGAAGCACACCGCCGATCTTGGTGTTGGTATCAACCTCTAGGCCTGCGACCATTGCCAGAAACTCTGCACCGATGATGCTGCAGTACACGTCGTTCATTTCTGATCGTGCTCATTTCTAATTCTGCTCGTTTCTGATTGTGCCTGGCCCCCCCCCGTGGCCGGGCAGAGGCCCAGGATCGAACAGCCAGCAATGCGAGGGATCCTGGCCCCCCAAAAAAATTAGGGAACGTTCGAAGAGTTCGAAGCGAACAATGTGTACTACTTCCCTCCGGTCCCAAGAGTTTCGGGTCGGGCGAAAGGGGGGGATAATAGCAAAGGGAGGATTTGAGAATAAGCTCACGTAGCTGACTTTCCCGGCGCCTCCCGGCGCCGGAGGCGGCTATGTATCGAGGAATGGGCCCCTCGGCGAGGCCGAAACCAGCTGCATGCAGCAAACTTCCTAACCCCACCTCTCCCAATCCCCCCCTTCCCTCCGGCCCGAGAGTTCCCTCCGCGTCGCGTCCCCACAAGCCTCCGCTGCCCCCTTCAAGAAGGTGCCCCTCTCGAAGAAAGGCCGACGCCCCGTGCGCCTGCTGCATTCGGGCGGGAGCCCCGCCTCGAACACTAACCTCCTCCTCCCCCTCCTCCTCCTCCTCCTCCTCCTCCTCCTCCTCCTCCTCCTCCTCCTCCTCCTCCTCCTCCTCCTCCTCCTCCTCCCTCCTCCTCCTCCTCCTCCTCCTCCTCCTCCTCCTCCCTCCTCCTCCCTCCCTCCTCCTCCTCCTCCTCCTCCTCCTCCTCCTCCCTCCTCCTCCTCCTCCTCCTCCTCCTCCTCCTCCTCCTCCTCCTCCTCCTCCCCCTCATCCTCCTCCTCCTCCTCCTCCTCCTCCTTCCCCAGCGCAACACCGCAGGGCTGCGCAACAACGGCGCGCAACGGAGCAGCAAGGGGGGGC